AATTGTCAGTCCGAGGTACATGTATTATGTTTGTTGAAAATCTCCTATATAGCTTAAATAGCGTAATTGTCTTGGTGACGCTTTATCCAGTTTTTGTTGAAAAGCAAATGTTAAAGGTTTATGATCAGTTTTTATTATAAAATTATGACCGTCTAATATGTGCCTAAAGTGCTTGATGGCTAAGTATACTGCTAACAATTCTTTATCATATGTAATGCAATGAACCTTCTTATGGTGAGGGTGTCTAGAGCTGGGATAGCTCAGCCACAGCCAGGGTCCTTACAAGAAAATTTCTATTTACTTGTCGTTGGTTGCCTCTCGACCGTTTCAGTTTAAATTTTACACGATTTTCAATTCAGTTCTTATTATTTCTTTATTAAATCTAAATTCCTAAATAGGCAATAACTTATAAGCTATAATTAACAAGTATATATATTTATAAATATAATTTCAAAATAATAGTAAGGATTTCAACAGTAGTTATAGAATTGTAAAGAAAACAAAGGCAATAATTTCAAAGCGATCGTAGTTGTTTAACACAGTCTGGATCTCAGCCGTAGCTATAGAAGTATAAACACAAGTTAGAATTTTCAAAGCGATCGTAGTTGTTTAACACAATCTGGATCTCAGCCGTAGCTTTAGAAGTATAAACACAAGTTAGAATTTCAAAGCGATAGTAATTGATTAACACAGCCTGTATTTCAGCCGTAGCTATAGAAGTATAAACACAAGTTAGAATTTCAAAGCGATAGTAATTGATTAGCACAGCCTGGATTTCAGCCGTAGCTATAGAAGTATAAACACAAGTTAGAATTTCAAAGCGATAGTAATTGATTAACACAGCCTGTATTTCAGCCGTAGCTATAGAATTGTAAACACAAGTTAGAATTTCAAAGCGATAGTAATTGATTAACACAGCCTGTATTTCAGCCGTAGCTATAGAAGTATAAACACAAGTTAGAATTTCAAAGCGATAGTAATTGATTAACACAGCCTGGATCTTCAGCCGTAGCTATAGAATTGTAAACACAAGTTAGAATTTCAAAGCGATAGTAATTGATTAACACAGCCTGTATTTCAGCCGTAGCTATAGAAGTATAAACACAAGTTAGAATTTCAAAGCGATAGTAATTGATTAACACAGCCTGTATTTCAGCCGTAGCTATAGAATTGTAAACACAAGTTAGAATTTTCAAAGCGATCGTAGTTGTTTAACACAGTCTGGATCTCAGCCGTAGCTATAGAAGTATAAACACAAGTTAGAATTTCAAAGTGATAGTAATTGATTAACACAGCCTGTATTTCAGCCGTAGCTATAGAATTGTAAACACAAGTTAGAATTTCAAAGCGATAGTAGTTGCTTAACACCGATACTATATTCAGGTGTAAAAGCGTGCTTTTTTTACAGGATGACCATAGAGTACTTTTAGAAGCCTTCTATGTACCTCCTTCATCTGACAACTATTGAAGCTCCCAGACCGGTACGCTACACCTTACCTATAGTATGCTCTGTTCCCACGTTATACTAGACCATTAGTCACTTGCTGTCCAATTGTTCACCACAATTTTTCCTCTGTCGCCAAACCCGTACTGAGATGTCCAATGATGATCAAAACCAAACAAGAAAAGAGACCGATTTCAGTAAAACATCGCCTTTTATTTGATCTTGTTGACGCTTTTAATTCCGCTATCACCTTTTTCTGCTATGCATTTTTTTTTTGTTTAATCATTGTTTTTGCATGTTTACAATTTATGCTGTTGACGAATCAACAAAAAATTAAGAACTAGGTCATGAGTTAATCGCTCACACCTGTTACTTAATTTCTTGGTTGACGAATCAACAAAAAGTAAAAATTAGGTCATAAGTAAAGCATTCGCAAATATTGCTTATCAAGCAATTTGTGCGAATTAAGTACAGTGGACGTCCAATATAACGAATTTTATGTCGCACCCCTTGTTCGTTATATCGAAAAATTCGTAATATCGAATGTTATACATTTACCTACCAATATGGTTATTTTTAGGAGATTTCATATATTTGAGTTCATAAATTAACTTATAAACACGTACGAGTATATATTTATTTAAAAGTATTTTTTATTCGGTTGTTACAAAAATTATTTATAAGAAAGGATGCATTCAATCATAGTGTAGAGTAAAAAAAATCATTAATTTTTGTTTGTTTTTTACTACACTCAAGACTTTTCTGAACAGCTTTTTCTTGTAGTTCTCTTAGTACAGCTAATTTTGAAGTTTCATTATTGTTAATCGCCCACTTTATGCATTTTTCGAAATGATTTATGGCATCTTTATGTTTAATAATTTCTAAATTATTTTCTTCTATATTTTCGTCATCAGATCCATCATCCTCGTCCGAGACATCGATGGTATTATCAGCATTATTCCATTTATTAACTTCGTATGTACTAATGTCACACTAACAATAAAATTGAAAATATAATATAGGATATTATATGTATGTCTAGATAGTATTTCGTATATGATAAACTGAATTTGTGAACAACAGATCAGTGGCGCCTGCATATATGCATTTTGCCATATATAGGCATTTTTCTCAGAAAAAAAAAACGGACAATTACATGCATATTCTAAGCTGAATAATGCTAGTTTTATAGTAAAATTATATTCAAAAGCATAATTTGTATAAAACAAAAACGAATAAGAAACAAAAAATTTTTTGTTCGTAATATGGAGCAGAATTTTTTTTTTCGTTCGTTATATAGAACAATCAATGTAAATATTTTGGGTGTTCGTTATATCGAAAATTCGTAATATCGAGCGTTCGTTATACTGGACGACCACTGTAATAAGCTATTTTATTTATTGTATGTTTTGCAATTACGGTTGCATTTTATTTTGTATAAAAGAACAAACCAATTTAAATAAAATCAGTTGTTGAAAGTAAATCAACGTCTCACCAATCTTTTATTGTTTCCCCCCACCAGTGGTAAGGGACATAAAGATTTGTTAATGAACATTCTTGTTCATATGCCCATGCTTATTTCTTCTAATTCTTTCTGTGCAGACTTGTTTTTGGCTGTTTACAACTTGCTGTTCTGATGCATTTTTTTTTTGTTTAAGTTTTGTTTTTGCATGTTTACAATTTAAGCCCATGCTTATTATTTTCTAATTCTTTCTGTGCAGAGTTGTTTTTGGCTGTTTACGGCTTGCATTGTTATAATTATTATTTGCACAAATACGTTAGGGCAACTTGGTCTTTTGTAACCCTAATTTTCGTACAGGAAAAAATTGGGTCGTTACAGTACTATAATTTTTTTGCGATGTCTTCAGCTTCGCCGAGAAGAAACCTACAGGTTTCCACCGATTATCTTCATTTTGGACCAAATGAGCTCCGACAGCAATGTCTGATGCATCTGTAGTGAGGCAAAGAGGTGCTGTTGCGGATAAAAACGATATTTGTGTCAGTTTAAGTATTTGATTTTTTCAGTCTGTAAATGCTTTTTCCAGTTGCGTAGTCCATTGTATTATAGTTTTGTCAGTTTTGATCGACTTCCTACATAAAGTAGTTAACGGCGCTTGACACTCTGATGCATTTGACATGCATTTACGGAAAAAATTCATCATGCCTAGAAATCTTCGTAACCCTTGAATCGTCGTAGGCTTAGGATAAGAAGCTATAGCTGTAACGCGTTCCGCTGGCGGATTCAATCCTTTTGGTGTAATATGATAACCAAGAAATTGAAGTTCATTTACGCTAAACTCACATTTCGATATGTTTATGAAAATATTTGCTTCCTTCAATCTCTGAAGAACTGTTGCTAAGTGTTGCTTATGCTCCTCATCATTGCTGGAGAACACTAAAATATCGTCGATATAGCAGAATACAAACGACAAATCGCGAAAAATAGAATCCATATATCGCTGAAACGTTTGAGTTGCATTTCTTAAGCCAAAGGGCATTACCACAATCTCAAAAATATATATTTTTGTAAAGCGTATTTGAATCATAATTGGTGTATGTGGTGCCTTTTGCTTTTAGTTTAGTAATGGAATCAATTAGTTGTTGCGAATTTAAATCAATAATAAGGCCAAAGTTGGAAAGAAAGTCAACGCCGTTTATAGGACATTTTACGTCAGCCACTATAAAATCCCATCGAAATGAGCGTCGTAGACCAAAGTCGATGTTTAAATTCTTAACACCATATGTTGAAATGACTGTATTGTTGGCTGCAAAAAGTTGTAGATCATCTGGTTTAGCATGTTGTCTCATTTTTACTACTGAGCATGGTATCACTGACACTACGGAGCCTGAGTCAATTAAAAACTTTAAGTTGCTGTTGCGATTACGAACGTGAAGTCCTTTTTCAATGATGCACTGACTTTTTACGCCGTCACCAGTTGCATGGACCGGTGCACAGTGTGACAAAACACAAAATTAGGCGGTCATAATTCGATATTTTCGGAACTAGTAAAGATATTGATATGAAATTTTTGACCAAACATGGGGATTTTACCGTGGTCCCAAGATTATTTAAATACTATGATAGGTAGAAAGCTGAATTTTGGTGTCCGGAAAACGTACGTTATTATCTAGATTCCAAAATTTTTTTATGGTTTTCCGCCCACTGCCACACCCACCCCCCATACAAAATTTTCATATTAAATCGTTTATTATCGTTAAAAACACCTTTTGCACTTATTGGACTACATATATACGTGACTTACATAGCAATACAACTTTATGCAAAAAATGGGCGTGATCCGCCCATTAGTTCCTAAGTTATTTGCAGCTTATGCAATTTTAGCGAAATTATGATTTCGTAAAAATTGAACCAACTTTAAACCCTTATATCTTTTTTACTATTTATTCAAAAATGATCATTTTTAATTTTTTTTAAAGCTTACAATATTGATTAGATTTAAAAGAAAGAAACACTCAAAAACTATATTTTAGGAAAATGTCATATCAATATCTCTACTAATTTTGTGTTTTGTCACAGTGTGCGGTGACAGCAATTTTAGTTTCCCGAATGCTGTTGGACGTTTGTTGCGGGTTGGAACTCGCAGGGCTGTTCACATTTTTTTGCTGCAATTCCAAATCTTATATGGTATCGACAAACTTTATTCGAACGCGATGAACTGCTTGGACGCTGTCGTGAAGGGTTTCGGTATGAATTTCGAGACTTTCGACCTTCCCATGCTATGCTAGTAGATAAGTCACTCATTTTGGCAATTAATTGACTGATAGACGTTTCTATGGCTAACATTCTGGATTCTAGTGCACCGATTCTTGATGCTGATGTGGAATCTGTGTATGTTGGACTGTTACGATTTGCTGTTGCCATTACATATGGTGACCTAGTAGAATTATTTAATATTCGGTCCGCAATTTCAGGTAGATCATTTAAGGTTTCGCTCTTACATGCTAACAAAATACATCTTACGTTATTGGGCATGCGCTGCATCCAAAAGGTAGTAAGTGCTTCTGTTGATACATTGTTTCCAGCTAGATCTGTCATCTCACGTATAAGCTGGCTTGGCTTCTTATTCGCCAAATCGAGACCCGTGAGAAATTTGGTAAGTTGTTTCTCTGTCGAAGCACCGAAACGAGTTATAAGTTCTTTTTTTAGTTTTTCATACTTGCCTGTAGCTAGCGGATTTTAGCTACATCTGCTACTTGTCTTAGTGTGTCCGCATCCAAAGCTGTTATAACCGTATAAAATTTTTACGTATTTGAAGAAATTCTGTGGCAATGCAATAACCCATCAATTTGGGTGAACCACAGTTCTGGATCAGTTGTCATGAACTGCGGAAGCTTTAGAATCGCGACCGCTTCCAACGTGGCTGTGATTGGCTCCTTACTACTAACTGCGCTTGTTTTTTCTTTATTTAGCTTATTTTCATTGTCTTCTCTTTCTACTTGCGACATTTTGAAAAATTTTTATAAGGGTGCTGGTCTGACGCTCTTATGCTGCGCTTGTGAAATTCTTTATGCTTGAATTTAAGCAAGTTTATTTTATTGCTTTCTATTTGCCGTGATCAAGATTTAGACACACTAATGTACTTTTTTCAATCACGTCAGGGTCACCATTTATAAATTCACATTTATAATTTTGTTTATGCTTTATTTAATTTAATAATTTATTTACAGAACAGAACCTTCTTTTTGCTTTTTTCTCAAGTCTCGAACAGCTGACTTCGAACAGTGTTGTCGTTCGCTATTTTTATAAAAGAGTGTTGTAAGTCGCTACAAACCTCAAAATGCAGAAACACCTACCTACCGAATTTTCAACAAATCTTGTAAAATCAAGAAACGTGTCGGACAGGAAAGTTTAAATGAAAAAAAAAGAAAAAGAAATCACTCCGGTTCTTCGCAATGATTTTTTACAATTTTTTCAATTGTTATATATTTTTATTTTTTTTTATATTTTACTAAATTTTTCTTTTAATCTTTTGTTTAGAACTTGTATTTTTATGTCTTTTATACATTATTATTTTTGAAGTACACATCACCTACTGGTGGGAATGTCGCTGGCGGCTATATTTTTAAAGCTGTCAAGGAATTATCTATCTTGGTATCGTAACTTACAACCTGACAACACCAATATCTGGCTGTAGATAAGACGAAGATTTACCATTGACAAGAGGAGCTACAATGGATTCAAATGGCAATTGAGAAATATAGTTCACGCTCTTTACGCTCTATGCTGTACTGAGAGTATTTATGTACTGAGAAAAATTTTATGCAACGTATTTGATTTTTTATGAATTGGCAATGACTACTGTATCCAAATGAGCTACGAAAACCTGAAGTTCTGAATATATATTATTAGAAAAAACAAGTTTGATGTTTTCTGATGGTATTACAGATGACATGCTTAAATGAAGTGGATTCTATAGGAATATTTAAACCAAAATAAAATTGTGATGATATTTTCGAATTATGTATGCGTTTTTCACGTTTGCTCTGACTAATATTAGACAACAAATCACCTCATCGGATATATTTATATAAACACAGACTTATATTTCTTTAGTAGGATTAACTTATAACTGTCAGTAATCTCAATAAAAATTACCTTCAGAAAAGTGTGGTGGCGTCTGGATATATTAATCCCAAGTAATCTTCGTATTTCTCTAAAATGCGTTCGTCCATTCACTTGTGTTCAAGATTACTATCAAATTTCGTTGATTCTAATTTAATAGCCAAATCTAAATGTTATTCTACATGCGCCATTGATCACGTAAAATTAAATAAGTCGTCAAAAAAAATAATTTGAATTCATCTCCATAGTGACAAGTATTTTTAAAAATTCATATATTTTTAAAAAATTTGAAGTTATTGATGTTTTCTAAAAAATAAATCCGAGATGGTCTTCCAAGAAAATTAAGTTAAAAGTTTCGTTCAGATAGAGTTATATACATGTTGAAGTTTTATACAAAATTGTGGGATTGTGCATTGTCGGCTGGATCTTACCCTTTCTTATCATTTTGAATGTAATCATGTACGATAGGAAAATAATCGTGGGAAAAGGCCTTTGTTTAGGTGAGTTGCAAGAAAACGGACTTAGACGTAAATTTTGAAGTAATTCCCATTTTTAGCATAAGGTTAAGAATTTTAAGCATCGTCTCACAGTTGTTATTGAAACTTGAAACCACTAAATTATGTAGAATATAAAAGAAGCAAAGAAAAATATAAAAGAAAAAATAATTATTAGAAAAAGTTTCATGAAGTGTGTCAAAAGCAAATAAAATCAAAGATTAGTAATATTACTAAAAGTTTTCACAAAATGTTTTAAGGGTAATGAAGAGCAATGGATATATTTGGGTATTTGAAAATCATAAAGATAGTGAATTATTGTTGCTAATATTAAAGTTGAGTGTGTAAACGGCGCTTTTACACTTAACCGTGAGAGTGGTCTTGACATCTAGGTTCACTGACAATATGGTGGTAAGTGCTTAGTTTAATATTGTGTGAACGCTAGTAGTAATAAAGTTCTCCTTCCATAACGAAAGAATAGTGTTTTGACTTCGTCATCAAACAAGGCCAGCGTAGATTTTCAAGACATCGGACGAATCAACAACAGTACGACGCCAAGTTTCTAATGGTGTTTCTATTTCAGCGTCTGTTCACCATGTGAGATGCGGCTGTAAGTGGTCGACTTGTAGCAAACGGATCGCTATATAAACGTGTACCACGCCGGAATCTCGCTGGGACATTCGGAACAACTTCTCCAAGAGGTAATCGACGTTCGAATAGTCCCCCTGCACTCGCTGCAGCAGGCACATCATGCTTAATAAGCATAAAAATAATAACATCTGTCGCAACATGGAATGTACGCACTTTAAATGAGGCTGGTAAACTCGAACAACTTTGAAGCGAGATGGCTCGATATAAAATCGACATTTTAGCGATACAAGAATGCAGGTGAAATGATAAAAACTTCTTCAAACACAAAGATAGTTTATTTATTTATTCTGGCACACCAGAAGGATCTGCTTATTGTATAATTAAGTAATATAATTACAACTCTGTAAATATTAGATGTAATATATATTATATATTAAATAAATAGAGAGTCAGTCGAAGTCAGGCTGAGGCTGTCGTAAGTAAAAGACATATCGTTTACTTATTTATATTACTCACATGGTTGTATAAAATATAATATGGTGTCAGGTGATGAAAAGAAAATAGAAAAAGAAATTAAACATAATAAAATGAGTGGAAATAGTCAAATTTTTGCTAGGGCTAGTAACTTGGCTCAAGAATGGAAAAGTTGGAGCAAGCAGTTCCATATTTTTATGCTTGCATCGAATTTAGAAGAAGAACAAGAACGTCGCAAAGTTGTACTTTTACTGCACCACTTGGGGGCAGTAATTGAAATTTTTAATTCATTTAACATGGATTTAGAAAAAGTAAAATTAGAAAATGTGTTAGAAAAGTTCAGTGAATACTTTATTTCAAAAGCTAACGTGGCTATGGAACGGTACAAATTCCTTACGCGCCAACAGAAATCAGAAGAAACAATAAGTGAATACGCAACTGCGCTATAAAACTTGAGTACAACATGTTTAGAGTTCAAGCAGAGTTTAAAGATCTGCTTGAAGATTTAATTAGAGATATATTTATTTGTGGTTTATCCCTCAACTTTAAACATATTAAAGAACGCCTTTTAAGTGAAGGTGATATTAAATGGGGTAAAGCTTTGGAAATAGCAACAACATTGAAATTGCACGAGAAAATGCAACAACAATACTGAAAACAGTCAAAGAAAACGTACTGGGCTAAAAAAACAACGGATTGCAAGACCCGTTTCGGTACAACAAAAATATAGTAAGAAAGAGTGTAAAAAGTGTGGCCAATTAAATAAATTCAAATGTCCGGCCGATGGAGTGATTTGCCATATATGTAAAAAGCCAAATCACTATGCAAAAATGTGCTTTAGTCGTTCATCAGTGTAGCAGCAGCAGCAACAACAACAGTTCCGTAAAAGCCAATATATAAAAAACGTGTCTGAAGAAACAAAATTATTTGATGACGATTTATTTGTTGGAACAATAAGCAAAAATTTAAACAAGTTTTTGCACAAAATAAATCATGAAATGTTAATGTCAATATAGAAGGCGTAAAAGTGAACTGCCAGGTAGATTCTGGAGCGGAAACAAACTTATTGCCGGTATTTACTTTTAATGGATTTAATAATATTAAATTAGAAAAAATTTTAATATTATTAGAACTTTTAGTGGTGAAAAATTACCTATAATAGGAAAAGCTCATGTGGATTTATTATTTAACAATATTAGACAAAAGGCTATTTTTCATGTGGTCGATATGCAGTGTAATAATGTTCTGAGTCTGGACTTAGCAATTGAGGTAAATCTAATCGAAATAGTAAACGCAGTAAGTTGTGATAATAAAGTAGAAATAAACAATTGTGACGAATAAGACATTTTTGGTAAATATTCAGACGTATTTAATGGTCTCGGTCAGTTCAAAAATAAGTGTAAATTGCAAATCAGAGATAATAGTACACCAGTTGTTGATGTACAACATAGAGTGCCCTGTAGTCTACTTGAACCACTTAAAAAAGAGTTACAAAGAATGAAAGAATTAGAAGTTATTACTGAAGTCACTGAACCAACTGAGTGAACTGAACCAGTTCAATTGCGTTAGTTACTAAGCAAAATGGCAATATCCGTTTATGCTTAGGTCCTCGTAATTTAAATAAAGCTATTGTAAGGCCAAGGTTTTCGTTTCCTGATTTAGATGTTCAGGATTCTGGATGGTGCCCTTGGATGAAAATTTTTCAAAGTTATGTACTTTCAACACTCCTTTTGGTCGATTTACATTTTTACGTCTACCATTTGATATCAACACAGCACCAGAAATATTCCATGGAAAAATGGTTCGTCTTTTTGGTGATATTAAAGGAGTTATCATTTATTTAGATGATTTCCTTATTTATGCGAAATCAATGAAAGAGCATAATGACTTTTTGTACAAGGTCTTAAAGAGAGC